GCGTTGTGGTCCACTGGCCACCGTGGTCTGTGGTTACGGTCATCTGGGTGACTCCAATCTGCACCTGAACGTTTCCTGCGACGAGTTCAACGACGAGATCTACAAGCGGGTGGAGCCCTTCGTCTATGAATACACCTCAAAGCTGAAGGGCAGCATTAGTGCCGAGCACGGCATTGGGTTCCTGAAGAAGGACTATCTGCACTATTCCAAGGATCCGGTTGCCATTGGCTATATGCGCGACATGAAGAAGCTGCTGGACCCCAACGGCATCCTCAATCCCTACAAGGTGCTCAACTGAAGTGGGGGGGTCTCTTCTCATCGATAAGTCTACGGTCATGTGTTTTTTTTCTAGTTTCCATAAATAAAATGCTTAAAAATTAATTTAGAAAACTGCATATGGGCCTCTTTTGACTTGTAGCTGGTGAAGTAAATGTAAAGGACATTTTTGAAGAGACTGGGGTTTTTAAATCAATGTTTTTTTATTAAATCAAATTTTAATCATTCATTTTTTGCATTCCATTTGAGCTCAATGTGATATTCCTCTTAACTTTTCCATCTATTATCAGCGTACTTTACATTTTATTAACAAAAATACCAAGGACACATTTAGTCAAAAGGCTTATTTTAAAATAAATAAAGGCAAATTCAAAGTGTTCTTATATTAAATCAAATTTTCTTATTTGTTATATAAAATTTTTTTGCATTCCCTTTGAGGTCAATATGATATTTCTCTAAACTTTTCCATTATCAGTATAATTTACATTTTATAAATTAAATTTTAAGGACACATTTAGTTTTATTTTAAAATAAATAAAACCAAAATCGAAGTGATCGGGAAGACTATACTTTTTTAACATAGTATAATTTCTTATCTGAGCTTGCCTAGCTTTAAATTCAAAGCCCAGCAGTATGCTTTATTCACATAAAAAATTACTTCCAGTTTCTCAACAAAAAGGCATTAGTGGGTTAAAGATCGGTGATAATTTCAAGTTGCCGCTCCACGAAAGCTCCGCTAAAGCTTTTCAGAGTGACCGCTTGATGTTTTTAAAAAAAATGTATAAATGGTATTAAAAACATATTTCTTTGGTATAATTGATCGGTGGTCAGCTTATCGGCCATATATAAATTGTAGCTTGGGGGAATTTGCACCATTGCTGAAACAGATCGAAAACACACGAAACATGAGCGGGTGAGTAAGAGGAAATAGCCCTATTTTTTGGGTTGACAAGTTTTACATGTTTTTCAACTGTCATGTTTTTTGATTTTGGTTTTTTTTCTAATGGTTTTTCGTATCTTTTGCAGACAAGCGGACATTGCTCTCATCGGCCTGGCCGTCATGGGTCAGAATCTGATCCTCAACATGGACGAGAAGGGCTTCAAGGTGGTGGCCTACAACCGCACCGTGGCCAAGGTCAAAGATTTCCTCGCCAACGAGGCCAAAGGCACCAATGTGATTGGCGCCGATTCGCTGAAGGACATGGTCTCCAAGCTGAAAGCCCCCCGCAAGGTCATGCTGCTGGTCAAGGGTGAGTGTTGAGTTGCTAAATTAGCATTTCACTTCCAATAATCCCAAAAAAAACATATAAAAACTACAAAAAACCCGCTGTAAAATATCACTCCACTTTCGCTGTGTTGGTGACTCTGGTTTACATGTGTGCGCGCGTGTGCGAATGGAAGTCAAAGCAAAGTCATCAAATCAAACGATTTGCTTTTTTTTGTGCGGTTCATATTGCAATGTGCAAAGGGAGAGAGAAGAGAGTGTAAACAGGTGGAAGAGGTAGAGAAAGAGGAGTAACAACAATAAACAACCGTTCAGAGATCATTGAGCTGTGTTTCCAACGCAAAGCTGGGCTTAGCTGTTGTTTTTGTAAGATATGTTAGAGATGACACTATTTTGATACTTTAAAAAGCGATACTTTTTACTTAAAAATTAAAAAAAAATACATTAAAATCTAGATTTCCACAACAGCCAACATTCAAATGAAAATTTTTATTTAATAAAAATAAATATTTAAAATCTATGTTTATTTAAAAAAATGTATAGATATTTTTTAAGAAATGTGGAGATTAAAGATTTTTTAATTAAGATGATTTAATTATCAGTTTTGTCCTGCTTAGTGAACACTATTTTTAGGAGGAAAACAAATTTAGATTTCCAAAAAAGCCAATATTCGAAGAAAATATTTATCTTACAATATCTAAATATATTTTTTATAGGAAAAAAATCATGTTTATTGGAAAAAATGTATAAATGCATAGATATTTTTTTTTTAGAACTTAGGGGTTTAATTATTTTTAGTTAAAGAACTGATCATCAGTTTTCTTCAAATTTTCCAATTGCGCTGCTTAATGCACTGAATTTTTAGGTTTAGCATTGTCCCTCTCTTTTTAACAAACCGTTTTCGAAACCCTAAGTGGGTTTTCAGGTCACTCACGCTCTCGTCTACCCTACACGCATGTCCAAAATTCCACTAACCACTCACACTCACCTCTAGTTCGTACGTTAATCGGCGTGCCCGGCTTATCTCCACCTTCACCTTCCTACCTACCAAAAGCAACAATAACACACCGGCGCAGAGAGAAATCTTTGACATTCATAATAGGTCACACACAATGGGCGATTTTCAAGGGGGATTTCCTCGGATTGGACTACCCGAAATCTGTTCTTCTGTCCGCATGATCATTTGTCCCGACGACCTTCCTTGCCAAGTTGCCAGGCCAATGATTCATTCCGTCTGCGAATCACCCCATGAACGCACAATTCGGACCATAAATATATAGTTATTATATTATATTTTTCGTGTACTAACTTTAGATTTGAAAGTGAACTTTCACTAAGTTGAATTGAAATATTATAATATTCAAGTAATTTTTAATGTATCAAGCAATTATAAGCACTGATTATCAGGGCCTAATTAGATTAGTGCTGTAAGACCTACGATTCTGACCGCTAGTGTGTCGCAAACCAACGACCGCTAGATAGATAGATCAATGCTATTATCGCCAGACTCGTTGGCCTTATCTGGTTCTCGTTCTGGTTCCATTGCGCTGGAGAAGTGCTCCCCGGCTCAAGGGACGCCTCACGGTGACCTCCAAAGTAACACAGCTACTTTCCAAAAGCAACCAAACTGACCTTGTTCAATCGCACGCTCTACTTTCCGGCTAAATCGATGATTTCTTCATATAAAAAAGAACTGGCACACGCGTTAAATGTAATATTTCAAAAATATAGCCCCTATAAAAGTACAATTGCTAATGTTGTTCTAAGACAAAAGGTCATGTTGTACAACAACTGTTGTACTTTAAAGAACTTTCGGGAAATAAAATTCATATCTCACCATTATTTTGCTCTCAGGCAAAGTTCAGGAAATCGTTTACAATTGAACCTTAAAGAAATTTTAGAAAGATAAGCTTGTTAATTAGCAGTATCGGTCTTTAATAATGAACTCTTGTATAAGAGCTTAAACTCATTGATATATGAATTCTAGAACTTCATAAAAATGTAGATCTAGACGATATCCAAATCCCGATTTACTTTCTGTCCAGGCAAAATTCAAAAATCTATAATAGCACTATATATAATAGAACTTTGGCAACTGCTAAGCCTACATATACTCGGCAATATCATTGATTTTGATCTACTTTCTGTCCAATTCCAGCTGGCAGTGCGGTCGACGATTTCATCCAGCAGCTGGTGCCGCTGCTCTCCGCCGGCGATGTGATCATCGATGGCGGCAACTCCGAGTACCAGGACACATCCCGCCGCTGCGACGAGCTGGCCAAACTGGGCCTGCTCTACGTGGGATCCGGCGTGAGTGGTGGCGAGGAGGGTGCCCGCCACGGACCCTCGCTGATGCCCGGTGGCCACGAGGCCGCGTGGCCCCTCATCCGTCCCATCTTCCAGGCGATCTGCGCCAAGGCCGACGGCGAACCCTGCTGCGAGTGGGTGGGCGACGGCGGTGCAGGCCACTTCGTCAAGATGGTCCACAATGGCATCGAGTACGGTGACATGCAGCTGATCTGCGAAGCCTACCACATCATGCAGAGCCTGGGACTGTCGGCCGACCAGATGGCCGAGGAGTTTGGCAAGTGGAACTCAGCTGAACTGGACTCCTTCCTGATTGAGATCACGCGCGACATCCTCAAGTACAAGGACAACAAGGGCCATCTGCTGGAGCGGATTCGCGACACCGCCGGCCAGAAGGGCACAGGCAAGTGGACTGCCATTGCTGCTCTGCAGTACGGAGTGCCGGTAACGCTAATTGGCGAGGCGGTCTTCTCCCGTTGCCTGTCCGCCCTGAAGGATGAGCGTGTCCAGGCCAGCAGCTCGCTGAAGGGACCCTCGACCAAGGCGCAAGTTGCCAACCTGACCAAGTTCCTCGACGACATCAAGCACGCCCTGTACTGTGCCAAGATCGTGTCCTATGCCCAGGGATTCATGCTGATGCGTGAAGCGGCCAGGGAGAACAAGTGGCGGCTGAACTACGGCGGCATTGCGCTGATGTGGCGCGGAGGCTGCATCATCCGCAGCGTCTTCCTGGGCAACATCAAGGACGCGTACACGTCGCAGCCACAGCTTTCGAACCTGCTGCTGGACGATTTCTTCAAGAAGGCCATCGAGCGCGGCCAGGACTCTTGGCGCGAGGTGGTGGCCAACGCCTTCCGCTGGGGCATCCCCGTGCCCGCCCTGTCCACCGCCCTCAGCTTCTTCGATGGCTACCGCACCGCCAAGCTGCCCGCCAACTTGCTGCAGGCCCAGCGTGATTACTTCGGTGCCCACACCTACGAACTGCTCGGCCAGGAGGGCCAGTTCCATCACACCAACTGGACGGGAACCGGCGGCAATGTCTCCGCCAGCACCTACCAGGCGTAGGTTCCGCTTCCGGTACCACCTCCTCCTCCACTTTCCCCCGATCACACATTCCATGTCATAGGCGCCGGTGTCTGTAGATGTTTCCTTGCTCTTTTTTTTTCTGGAGTACCTTAGTACTTATTTATACCATTAATATATATGTATGTATATATAATTTCATAATTGTTGTTAAACATAACATTAAATTGGTGTTTTTTTGCTAGCAAATGATTTCGGTTCCTTGGTTTGATGGATGCAAAGTGCCATAAAAAATCAACAATGTGTGTGGTGTGTTGTGTGTGGGTCGAGTCTTTCGAGTTGTGTCTTCATGTAGAGACGCCTCCTGCTCCTGCTCCTGCCAATCGTCCAGCTCCTCCTCCTCCTCCTCTGCCTCCATCCCTACTATTGTACTCTCTTCAGCTACCGGCTTATCGTTCACATCACCCTCAGTCATCCGAGGGCTTCAAGGTCTTCTTGTTCTCTATGACCAGCTTGTCGGCGCTGTACAAATGGCCGATGATCACCTGTAGACATTTAAAGGTTAATAAACTCGATCAACTGATAAGAAAAAAGGGGCATCAAAATGGTGGCTTTTGCTTTCTAAATGGGGGTGGGAATTGTAGTTGTTTACCTGGTAGAAAAACCTTTTGTACAAAAGAACTTTTAAGATGGTTTCCATCATAGGCTTTGATTGACACATGAATTGACATGATAATTGATAAGAAAAATTGAATTTTTTTAAAGACCTTAGATTTGGGTTGAGACTGTTGTTTTCTATTTTGTTATAATTTTTAAAGTGAGTTACAATGATCATAAAACACTTAATATGATGTTATTTGGTTTATTTGTTTCCTTAGTAATATGGTATAAGCCAAAGCTGACAGAATGATGTTATCTTCAAAGCATGATACTTGAGTTTAGAACAATCTTAAAGTAAACGAAAAACAAACTAAGGGTCTTTTGTACTATAGAGTAGATGGGAGTGTCAACATCAAGATACTTCCCATCGTGGCTGATAAGAAGACCCCGGCGAAGACGCGTGGGCCACTCACCTGGCGACGTATCAGCTCCAGATTCTGCTGGCCAGCGACCATTTGCCGATCGATCTCCCCGAAATCCCGGATGCCACTGTTGGCACGGAATGTGTCGCGTATTTTGCGGCCGGCATACATCCTAGAACCCGGTAAAATGGTAATATATTGCAGAGTCACCTATTTCACCACACCCACCTGAAGTTGTAGGAGGGCAGCTTCTCCGACTCGCGCAGGAGATTCCTGTATAATGTGATCGCCTGGCGACGCGTCGACATCCTAATCCTGTCCTGTCCTGTTTTGGCCAAATGGAACTGAGCAGGCGGGTTGGCTGGTGGTTTGAAGCGCCCTTTAATTGATGAGTGTTACGGCCAGACCGGCGTTTTGTTTAAACCCTGTTTATTGTTTCGGTTCGGCAACTGCTTATTGGACCGCCTGATGACATAAAAATTACATGTGGGAAGCGGGAAAATACTGAAAACCCGGGCGGAAAAATACCAGAAACAGCTGATGGCGGTATTTTCACAGTCACGTGCGTGAGTCTAGAGATGGAAGTTATTAATGGAGACCAAGGAGCTGTAGATTGTCTATAAAAATTGTTATTGGGTAAAAATAGGTATAATTGTTTGACTGAAATGTAATGTAGTTCATTTCTGTTTCCTCGTTATGAAGAATATTAAAAATCAACTATGTATATATTAAGAAATAATAGACATTTTCCACTGCACCGACAGTTGTCTTTTCAAAGTGCTTTCACTGGGGCGGGATATTTCATGTTGGAATTTTTTAGATAAATTATTAAAAGGTAGACATTTAAATTTTGTATTTAGTCTAGCAAAAAATATTCGGTATACCAATATTAAAAAATATTACTTTTAATATTTAAAAAGTATCCTTTGGCCAAACACCTCCCAAAATTATACAAGCATCGTATGTTTTTCAATTTTAGTTTTAATTCTGTTTGTTTTTTCTGCAAGAACAATATATTATGTACTCGTTGAAAACACAAAATAAATATATATTTTGTTCCCGAAATTGTTTCTTTCTTGCACGCGCGCTTGCTTTTTTAAATCTGATTTTTGTAGCCTAAATGACATTTTTGTGGTTGTAAACGTACACTTATATCCATATATATATATTTTAATATATATATATATTTGTTTATTGATCAGTTTTAGTTTTATAAGTAGAGTTTCTTTAGCTTAAGTTTAGGCAATAAAATAACTTTATTTTTCTCATCGAATCTAGATTTCTTTCTTTCGCTATCTCTCTCTCTTTCTTTACACTTCTGTCTACCGCTCTCGCTCTTTCTCTCGCAGTGTATTTGTTAAGAGCGTTTGTTTTTAAATATATGAATAAAAAAATGTTTTAAAATTTAAGGTAAGAGTAGGTAAAAAAAACACATTTAAAATAAACCTAAGACGCGTCCGATAAAATCGCTGATTAAACAATATTTACATGGGTGTGTGTTTTAGTGTGTTTGTGAAGGTAAGCCGACGTTTAGCTGCTAATATTGCTTATGACTATATAACGTACTCATATCAGTAGGGGATTTGGATCTTTGTGTTGTTCGGGGTTTCATTTCGTCAATTCTTATCATTTTTGTATCATTTTTAGTTAAAACGCAGACCATGCTCAAGAATTCGCTATCACTTTGGGTTAATACAAACGCATAAACAGATCAGATCGCATTCTATCCTATCGCTCTTAACTATATACCTCGATATACATTTATATACGTGGGGGTACAGCTGACTGAAACTAGGTGCATTACATACTATACACATACATATAGTGGTTGCTATATCAACACATAAACAAATTACATAATCACAAACAACAGAATTTTATTTTGGTGGCAGGCTTTCGGTGTGGTTAACGACAATGGCGATGGCTCTCCCATTCCGAGTCCGAGTCCGAATCGGAGTCCGGGTCCGTGTCCGATTATCTGTGGCTGCTGTACGTCTTGTACACCCGCTGCACCCTCGTTGATCCTGTGGGCGATGTGGATGAGGAAGCGGAGACGGAGGCGGATGTGGACGAGCACGAGGCAGCAGCATGCGACGTGTCCGCTCCGACGGCCAAGACCTGCGCCGTCGTCTCCAGATTCAGTGGCAGGGTATTGTCGTGGTCATCCGAGTTCTCGTAGATGTAGTCGCGCTTCTTGAAGTTGTCGATGATGCGCTTCGTGGACTTCATGTGCGCCACAAAGGCTGCCTCCAACTGATGGACAAGAATGAGGGTAACAAGTTAGAGGGGCGGGCTCAGTTTGATTGTTAAGTTGATTAAGTTAACGATTTAGATTTAAATTTGCTGAAAGTTGAGGATACAATATCAAGAAAATCATTTTAAAACTCACGCTGGAGGTCAGGTTCATGAATGTGTGGTACTTTTCCAGCACGCCGATAATCTCCTTGAAGCTGTTTCCTCGCAATTGGCGCCGCACCAGCGACTCGTACAGCTCGTTGTCAGCAATCAAATTTCCCACAAGGATGGCCGCATAGCTGCCCTTTAGCGTGTGCTCCATGTGATGGCCAGCGCGTTGCAGAACTGTTGGGTAAAACCAGCCGTGAATAACAATGGGTCAGAGATCATCATCATTATGCCGCTGAGTACTCACGATTGTTGACTGTTTCCTCCACTTCCTCTTGTTTCTTCTTTCCCTTCTCGTTGCTCTCGAGGAAGGCGTCCGTGTTTTTCTCCACCAATCTGCGGGGAACCAAGTTGTTAACCATGCCAAAGAACTAGAAATATATTTTTCTCACCTGGCCAGTTCCTCGCACTTGTAGAAGTACTCGAGCAGAGCTTGCAGTGCACTTACGGATCCCTGTGCCGGTGGATTGTCGGCCACGTACTCCGCCGGAGCGGCAGCTTGCATTAACGCAGCCCTATTGGGTAGCGTGTGCATGCACAGATTGATTAGCAGGGTAAGAACCTGGGGAAGACGAAAATCACCAATGTAAAGAAGAAACTGGAAGGAGTAACCCAGATGCACTCACCAGTATGCTTAGCTCGAAGACACAGTGGTCGGGAATGTAGTTGGCCGAGAGCAGCAGCAGCCGGAAGCTCGTCTCCACCACATCGCCGCGCTGGCCCAGCAACTCCGCTCCGAGCGAGGGTTGCGCCTCGTTGAACGTGTGCGTCAGGTTGATCAGCACCTTGAGTACTGGAACCAGTAGCTCTCGCATGGCTACGCCCGGATGCTCCTTGTTGCTGCCAGCGCAGTCCACAGAGGGATGCAGCATAAGTTGCCGGCTACACAGGCGATACAGCTGGCAGAGGGTCTCCACCGCTCGTCCCTGGACAAAGGTCAGCATGTAGCGCTGGTTCGCTTCGTTGTGCTGCGTCACGTTTTCGAGGACTCGCAGACAACGTGCCACCGTTTGCATGTTGTCCAGCAGCGCCGGTTGCCAGTGGATCTCGGTATTGCAGGCAATCACCGGTCTGCAAAAATCCGATATGGTCTTGATAATGTGCTCCAGACCGCCCAGCTTCCGCAGATCCTCCTTGAACCATTCTCCGGCCCGTTTGGATGTCAGCGAAAGTAGCGTCTCCATGGCCAGCGTGCCCACGGTCAACGAGTCCACATTAAGATGCGTCCCCTTGCCCTGCGCCTTGATCTCCTCGCACAGCTCACGCACTTTCTGCTTGTTCCGGTCGTAGCCCGCTCGGTCCGGGTGGCCACTCTCCGTGCTGCCACCCACACCGTCCGCCTCCAGGAGGTTGATCATCAGCTCCAGGGAGTCGCGATCCAGGTCCATGTTGAGGCCCTCTTGCGAAAGGATGTACATGATGGCCGAAGTGCACAGGCCCAGGCTGAGGTCTTTGTTGGCGTCGGATAGTGCCTACGATTACAAAGAATATGTTTATTATATTCGTAAGCATCAGTACAAGCAAAGCAAATTTCTGTGAGACCCCTAGAAAGCCGGAAATCAATACCAACCTGGTACTCTATATTTATATAGCTAGAAAGCTACACATGTTATACAATTCCTAATAATGTTTCACGTTGTTACAGGCATTAAATACCCAATGAACATGCCTGCTTTCCAAAGAAAAGTTGCAATTCTTGGTATACCTCTGCGGAATTGTGAAATATTGATTTTGATGGGATCCATTTCGATCATCAAAATTAATAAACATTCAATTCCAAACAAGTGTGCAAATTAAAGCGGTTTGCAATTCAATATGTCAAATAATAACAATAATTAGGTAGGAAAGTTACCTTGAAGAACTTGGTGACTACGCCATGGGCACGCACGTGCATCCGGAAGGCGGGCATCATGCACTTGGCGGCCAGCTGCAGGGCGGAAAGACAGCGCGTCGCCGGCGGATTGTGCGGTTGCAGGGCGTCCAGGATGTACTCGACGTCGTCGTCCATTTCCTGGTACTCCCCGATCTCCTGGATCTGGTGGGCGGTCTTCACGTTTCGCACCACCGTATAGTAGTCCTTGGTTTTACGGTCGACGCGAATGGGTCCGCCGCCGCCAGTCGTTCCTCCTCCGCCCGCTGCTCCACCCGTTCCTCCGGAAGCAACTCCTGCGGCACTGCGTTCCAGGTCGAGCTCGCCGGCAATTGGTTCCAAATCCAGGTCAAAGGCATCGGAACTGGTGGAGGTGGCGGGAACGCCCTGCTTCCCCGCCAGCCGCGAGATTTTTCCTAGCGCCGGGCTGTCGCCGCGCAACGTGGACGCACTGCTACATGCACTGGAGGAGCCATTGTTGTTGGACGAGGGACTGTCACCGAAATCGCCATCGGACTTGCCCGCCGCCAAATGATGCAGCAAATGGTCTTTGACTCCGGCGACGCCTACTCCCGAGGCCGAGGCATTGCTGGCATCGCTTCCGGTTCCACCGCCATTTGCCTCCAGCGCGGCGTCCCAGCTGTGCTTGTACAGATGCCGCTTGGCCACTGTCGCCTGCTCCGCTTGATCGGATGGCACCAGGGCACGGCTCTTAAAGATGCTACCTTTTTTCTTCGAAATGACCAGCTTGACGGCGCTTCGTTGTTCGCCAGGGGGCTCAGCTGCTCCTGTTGCGGCTGCTGCTCCTCCCGCACCCGCATTTGCCGCACCCTGGGAGTCCAGGGTCAGCGTTCGTTTAAACTTGTCCTTGAACTTGAAATCCCGCGGTGGGGGCGAGGAAGAGGATCCATCGTGCTGCAAGGACGAGTTGTTTGAGTTGTTCGACAGCTCGTCGGGATCGGGATCCGGATCGTGGTCCGGCGAGTGTTCCCTGTGATCCGTGTGGGGAATCTTGGCGGGCGTGGGATGCTCCTCCTCGGTCTCGGGAGTTTCCTCCTCATCGGGCGCCTGTTCCTGCTGCAGAACCTGTGTCACCTGCTGATTCTTCCGTTTCCGGCCATAGCTACGTGGTGCTCCACCCGCTGCTCCACCCTCCACCAGGCGGCTGGCCTCTGCTTTGGCGGACAGATTGGCGGCTATTTTGTTGATGTTGTTGTT